TGACTATCTAGTGCTAATCTATGCGTTATTGGCAGCCTTAACACGGCACCGAGTGCAACTACTAGCCCTTGTGCACTTGATCATTCTCGCTGCTAATTAATTCGTTAACAGAAACTGCCTTGTATTTAATTTGCTGTGAAAACCATACAAAGATGCGTTTAATTGCGCCATCTTTTCTGTTACCTTCCCTCTTGGTACGCTTGATGTTTAAGAAAAATCCTTGACTCCTTCATTTCCAATAAGTGCCTTACTGGCTTGCTCCAGCGTATCTCGTGTAGCTTTAGGAGGTGATGGCAGAGCCACATAAAATCAACTGAAAATGGGAATGCGCGCTTAAATAAATTCTTCAAAAGTTAAAAAATGACGTGTAAGCGAATAAACAATGGACGCGAATATAGTGTTAATTTGCTACCAGTATTAGCAAATGATGTTTTATTCTGACCATTCAAAAAATTGAATATGTAGTGATTACTATAATAAATTAGGGGTGCTGGTTGCTCAACGAGGTAATTGATGTTCCCCTTGTTTCTAGATATGCATAATACAAGAGTAAATCAGATTTAGTAATAAATATTTAACTTTACAAAATATGGTTCTACTTTTACCCTTTACTCATAAAAAAACCTTCCTTTTGCACGATACGTGTAAGCAAAGTATAAGGTACTAACAACCTTTGTGTTCAGTGTAAGCAGCTTGTACTGTGATAGTCGACTGGTGACCCGTTACACCGGCTACACATCGTATATATCAAAAAGATCATAAGCACTTCATGATACAAATTAGTACATGCACTCGCAAACCTTCGAACCATGCACTTGTCTGCAAAGGGTCAGCGCACAGGTGTTAGCACTCATAATGACGGTAAGTAGTACCCTTCGTCGAAACAAATCTTGCAGCAATCCTAGCATTAGTAGTTTGAGGCGTCCGTATTGTGACATGCAATTCTTCCTTTGAAACGCAAAAACGCTACGCTGGACTCGAGTCAACCCTTGACGCCTTTTTCTGTAAACAGTGGAAAAAGTTACGGAATCTCTGCGCTTTGGCGATCCATTATGCTGAAGTAGAGGATTTTGGTCCGCAGCGCCCGGCATCCTTCGTTTTTATATCAACTCCGTATTCATATAAAACGATAGTAGGTCGTGAACAGATCCTACCCGGGTCTTTACGGTATAAGCAAAGACCTTACAGGTTTGAGTTACATTTGCATTCTCCGCCGGAACAGATGATACCACGAAGCAGATTACTTTGCTGAATGCCAATCGCACGGTGGCATGTATACATGCAACTCCCACGACCGCATGCACGAATTGTTTTAGTAGACTGCATGATCTTTTTCCTGTGAAGGCTTGGTAACATACTCAACTTCGGTTGGATGCAACCGCCGTTAGTAATATTTATATGTAATTATACGAAATCATGACAAAATAGTCGCATGATTGGTGCTAGCTTAACCGCTGAACTTTGACAACAACAAAAATCTGGATAGTAGTACCCTTTTTAATGTTCTCTCTTGCACTTAACGCTACTACCATTGGTTTATTTTTAAAAGATCGCAATGTATCCGCAACTCAATCTAGTTTTTTCACTAAGCTCTTTCACGTCGGACATTTACTCTTTGACTAAACCTTTACATCTGGGCCTCATCGGTGCTAATGGCTTATTGAAGGCTCATTCGCAAACTCTTCATCACCGTATCATGCACATCCTCGACAAGAAACATTACTTGTTCATGCTCATCGGTATTTCTTCCTTGTTGTACCGTTTTTGTATGAACAAAAGATTCATGATTGTCGAGCACGTGAACGCGATTTTATGTATATTAGCATTTATAAACAAATCAAGGCAAGGTGGTTATCAGCTATGCGCCTCACTATTCGCCAAACGAAATGTAAAGGAGGAAGTGGTAAGTGTGACTTTTTTTGTACCAAATCATTTAAAATTTAGCCTAATTTGAAAAATTTAGCAGCTTCAAACGTCGGCATTGTACTTAGCATTACGGTGACTACATGAACCGTAGCTAAACCTAAAGATATAAAAATTATTCGGACGAGACCTGCTCTTGGAAAAATTGGGCGTATCATTAGTTATCTTTACGAATGTCCTGAAATGACCCAGCCGGATAAAAGTGAACCCAGCTGTTTAGCATGTGCCTAAATCTGTCACAAGACAATTTGTCATACTTAAAACTTTCGTAGCTTCATGATAGCCTGTATAAACGACACAGAAACTAAATTGCAAGGTTAACGCAAATCTGATCAGCTTAAAAATCTGCTTGATTATTAGTTAATCTGCAGTAACTCCTCGAGAAATCTCGTTGGATTGGTGGAGACGAATAAAATGAACAGGCGAGTAATGAGTTACGTAAATTTCCATTTTTTTAAAGCAGAAACCAAGTCCCTGATTCTTCAGACAGACCTCATATAATCATGTCCTAAGCTCCCCTTACATTGCGCATAGTCCCCAATTGTACCATCACAAGGCCAAGGAAGTAAAAAATTGCGAGGAGCATTCTGGCAAATTGGGCTTTCATAATCTAAAGAGTTTAGGTCACCCAGTATGCAATCCCTCTCATAACCGAGAAGCGCGCTGGCCTAGAATCGATGACCGATAACGACCTAACCCCCAAACGTCCGCAAATCGGTCACAATCCAAAGCTGGATAAATACCTGGCACTTTCGTGCGTGGCGCCGGCGTCCTGCTCGATGTATTAATAAAAAAAGGTAGCAAACGAGAAGATGAAGTATGACGATAATGAAGAGGTTGTGCAAATATTTTGGTACGGAACAAGTTCCTATGTTATTACAGAATATGGTCTTCTCTAAGTCCAGAGGAAAGAGCTTTTCCTTGCACCCAAGGCAGCATCCATATTATTCAATTAAATTGTAGATTTCTGGTATTGCCGCGATCTTGTAGTGAAGGTCAACACATTTTCATTCTCAACTTTTACGCCCCAAATTACACAGCTAAGCGCGAGAAAACCTTTGCAACCTGAGAAATTGAAACATGCAGCTCAACTAAACCAAACTATTACAAGATTATAATTGTGTAGAGAGCCCACACACGGAATTGTATGGTTCAACGGACACCCAATTGTCTTAAAAATTCTACACTGAGCATATGATTGAAGGAGACAAGGATGTGTGATACCCGGCTCTTTCGGAAACATCCATAAGGTGAGGAGCCAGCTGCGACTCAACACTTTTTACTTCAGATAAACGAGGCAGCCAGAAGTCTAGACCTATATTGCCCGTCGAAGAAGGCGTGTTGTCATTTGTATATGGAGCGACGGGTGCACGGATCGACAATCGGCACAGAGTAATGGGTGCGCAGCAACAGGGTCAGTGCGACGTTGCCAGATCGTGGTGGGTGAGATGCGACAGGGTTCGGATGACTACATAGTCGAATAGTCTAGGAGCGTTTTCAAGAGAAGATCTATGAGACCATGCCAAGCACCTGCAAGGGTAGTAGTGCGCACAAGTTATAGCCAAGTTGTAACGGGGCACCCTGAAGCTTGTACTGATGACAGTACAAGCTGCTTATTCTGACGACAGAATGAGGCAGTGCCTCGTACTTCACGTACACTGGTACGTGCAGAGGAAGACGGTAAGAAGAAGCGAGTACTTGGTTTAAGTAAAAGTATAACTATATTTATAATAGTTAATGTCTGCAATAAATCACTATTTATCTTCATCTAACTATGTCTAAATACAAATGTGTAAATCAGTTATCTGCTCACCACTCCTTGCGTGCGTCTGTCGTGGCGCGTCTTCGTTGGTTGATATAATGGCCTATATCAACCAATTAGTAACTACTCGTAAGTGCTACAGAATATTTGTCCTTATGACAATATTCTGAGAATATAACTCTTATAGTTATATTCTATTAACAATTTCTTATAAATTGTTATGTAACGATTCACCCCGTTACATCACCCCCCTAACCATCAGTCACTTTAGTGACTGATTGACTAAATGGATACTCGTCCCAAATCATTTAGGACAGGGTTTGCACTTGTTGGTCCGAGTCCACTTTCCAACATTTCATCGCATGGTTAACAACCCATGCGATGCGCGAGCAAGGCCGCCGAGAGCGTGTCCGCACGTCTCTGTGCGGACGCCGAAGCAGAAACAACAGCAACTGATGTCTCATCGGTTGCTGAAGCGACCCAGCCTGTGTCACTTGGTGATGCAGGCGCTGGTCATAAAGACACTCGTGTCTTCACAGAGTACGAGCTCGGTGTCTCGTACTCTCCTGATACGGATGACGGATCCGTATCGACGGCGATTGAATCTAAGCCGCCTGCCAAGCGTGGCATGGACGATGCTTTGCGTCGCAGCATCTTTGGTTCATCTGATGAGTCAGATGAACCATCGCCGAAGCGAAGGCGCTCGAGGTCGCAAGACTCGGGCGCTAATAGTGGTGTCGGTTCTCCTATGGACACCACTTCACAGCGAGGTGCCAGTACTTCTGTCGGCACATAGCAGGAAGAGCGGGACCGCAGTGTGTTGCGTCTCGCTCCCGAGAAGAAGGCATGGATGCCTCCTAAATCTGTCATGGATCACTTGTCGGTCACGGTGAGTGATCGGTATCGAACACGGTTGTTCGATATGTCAAGGATCCATCACCTTGACCCCAGCGCGAAAAACTATCGCGCTGAACACGAATTCTTCATCGATGCTTTCTTTAAACATCGATGGTACAGTGGGAATCACAAGCGTGATGGTCCCTCACTGCTTCAAGAGTGGAACGCTTACATCCATAACCTCGAGGATGTAGGTCGTGACGCTTGGAACGACAAACTTATCAGAGCTCGTGATAAGTTTGAGAAAAGAACCCCGACAGGTGCACGCTACAAGCTGCATCGTCTGTCAAGGGAGAAAGGATTACCCTGCCTCTCTTGGGGAGACTCGTGCCCATGTTGTGTGAACAACTCTGCACGAGCACCTAAGGAGGCTTACCTCCCTAATAGCCCGTGGTGGCGCGTACGTATCTCTAGTGAGATGTACGAAGGGATTGACAACTTGAAATCCCTTTACGACCGTGCCGGGAAGACTTTCTCCGGCGGTCCTTCTGCGGCACAGGATGTGCCGCGTCGTACTGCTCAACCAGACCCAGTACGTCGATCATCAGTTGGGAGCGGGGCTCCCAAGAATCCCAGGACGGGGGATAGCCGCGCCACCGGACGAGATAACTCGTCCGACGTCCGTTCAAGTCGCGGTGGTTCAACAGCTGCTCAACTAGATAGCGCTGACCACCGCGAGATTCCTCTAATGGAGGTGGAGGAGGAGGGAAGACGCTCTCCACACGATCGTGGGGATCCGTGTGCTCCCGAGAGCCTCTTTGATTGCGTAAAGCTTGCGTTACGCGGCGATCTCGAACATGAGCGGGACAGGCGTCTCCAAATGGCGGACACTGTCTCGAAGCATCGAGCTGAGTTTGCCTTTGCTCAGCTTGAGAACGAGAGAGCTCTGACATCTCTTCGTGACGAGCTAAGGGTATCTCGTGGGATTGTTGATCGGTCTCAGGATGAGATAACTGCTCTTCAGACCCTTGTCGATGACCACCATCGGGAGCACAAGGCTCTCTGCGAGATGCTTGAGCGCAAGGGCGTTCTTCATCGGAAGAAGCAGCGTACTGATGGTACGGCTTAAGCCGACCAACGTAAAACGTGGGATGCGTTCGCATCTTACGTGGCAACTCGATCGTGTATGCATTGCCTAGGTGGTGCAAAACACGAAATGGGCCGATGTACTTGGGTAGTTGTTTACTGCTACCCAAGTTAGTCACTACATGCTTTGGTAGATTAACCGTAGACAGTAGGACTAAGTCACATTTATTAAATAAAAGAGTGTTTGCCCTTCCATTCTTGTCAGCGTTTTGCTTTTGCTTATCCACCGCTTCGGCGATGGAGTCTTGCACAAAACGGACTACCGTTTTACGAGCCAGTATGAACTCGTCTGCTGACTCGTTAGATTCAGTGCGCTGTGAGTGCACTGCAGCAACATCAACCTTTTCTTCAGTGATGGCTTCCTCGCTCTCACTGGCATCATCTTCTTCGATATCGATGTTGTCTATATCGGCATCAAACGCAGTGACCTCTTCGTCAGAGCGTGATAAGCGTGAACCAAATCGTCTTTTGCTCGCGCGAGTCTCTCCCCCCCTTGGACCAGAGTTACACTCTAGTAAGGTGGGTACACGCGGATGGCGTAAGCCATTCACGTAAAACGGTGTATGTGTCGTGGACGCATGCACCGAGTTGTTAATGGCAAACTCTACCATTGTTAAGAAATCACTCCAACTCTTAAAGGGGTGTACGTATCCTCGAAGTATCTCTTCGAGGACACGATTGGCACTTTCCGTCTGACCATCTGACTCTGGATGATCAGATGTAGACATCTTCAAGCGCGTTCCGAGTGATTTGAACACGGAGCGCCAGAAATCAGCAGTGAATCGTGGATCTCTGTCTGATACGAGTTCACGGGGCAACCCATGAAGTCGGAAGATGGTGTCAATAAAGACACAAGCACAGCCACTTGCCATGATTGACTCTGGTACAGCCACAAGGTGTACCATTTGCTGAATCTGTCAACAAATACGAGAATACCCGTATTCCCGCGTGCGTCTTTGGGTAACCCGAAGACGAAATCCATTGAGATGGATTCCCAGTACTCAGCCGGAACCGGTAGAGGCTGTAAATGTGCACGCAGTGAAGGACTTGACTTCACTCGTTGACAGACTTCGCATGCGCGAACATACTTTCGCACAAACTGATACTGGCGGGGCCAGTAAAAGTCTCGACTCAGCGTGAGATATGTTTCTCCCGGCCACGATGTCCTCCTGTAGGAGCATCGTTATACTCGAACATGATCCGCAAACGCAGATCAGTATCATCTGGGATGACAACACGTGGTGTGGCACCAGGAACGGCTGTATAATGTAGTAAACCGTTGTGAGTTGTGTATCGATCTGATTCAGATCGATACGCAGACGACAATCGTTTCAACGATTCTCGAGATGGCTGTGAGAGGTGTGTCAACAACTTCACAATCTCACCATCTTAGGCGTATGCCCGCCTCACATCATCATGCAACGTTGAATATGAGACTGAGGACGTCATAACCGCAACAGTTACTGTAACGGGGCACCCTGAAGCTTGTACTGGTGACAGTACAAGCTACTTATTCTGATAACAGAATAAGGCGGTGCCTCGTAACTTCACGTACACTCGTACGTGCAGAGGAAGACGGTAAGAAGAAGCGAGTACTCGGTTAGAGTAAAAAGTAGAACTGTATTTATAATAGTTAATGTCTGCAATAAATCACTATTTATCTTCATCTAACTATGTCTAAATACAAATGTGTAAATCAGTTATCTGCTCACCACTCATTGCGTGCGTCTGTCGTGGCGCGTCTTCGTTGGTTGATATAATGGCCTATATCAACCAATTAGGAACTACTTGGAAGTGCTACAGAATATTGTCCTTATGACAATATTCTGAGAATATAACTCTTATAGTTATATTCTATTAACAATTTCTTATAAATTGTTATGTAACGATTCACCCCGTTACATCACCCCCCTAACCATCAGTCACTTTAGTGACTGATTGACTAAATGGATACTCGTCCCAAATCATTTGGGACGGGGTTTGCACTTGTTGGTCCGCGTCCACTTTCCAACATCTCATCGCATGGTAAACAAGCCCATGCGATGCGCGAGCTAAGGCCGCCAGAGAGCGCGTCTGCACGTCTCTGTGCGGACGCCGAAGCAGAAACTACAGCAACTGATGTCCCATCGGTTGCTGAATCGACTCAGCCTGTGTCACCTGGTGATGCAGGCGCTGGTCATGAAGACACTCGTGTCTTCACAGAGTACGAGCTCGGTGTCTCGTACTCTCCTGATACGGATGACGGATCCGTATCGACGGCGATTGAATCCAAGCCGCCTGCCAAGCGTGGCATGGACGATGCTTTGCGTCGCAGCATCTTTGGTTCATCTGATGAGTCAGATGAACCATCGCCAAGCGAAGGCGCTCGAGGTCGCGAGACTCGGGCGCTAATAGTGGTGTCGGTTCTCCTATGGACACCACTTCACAGCGAGTGCCAGTACTTCTGTCGGCACGTCGCAGGAAGAGCGGGACCGCAATGTGTTGCGTCTCGCTCCCGAGAAAGAAGGCATGGATGCCTCCTAAATCTGTCATGGATCACTTGTCGGTCACGGTGAGTGATCGGTATCAGACTACGGTTGTTCGATATGTCAAGGATCCATCACCTTGACCCCAGCGCGAAAAACTATCGCGCTGAACACGGAAATTCTTCATCGATGCTTTCTTTAAACATCGATGGTACAGTGGGAATCACAAGCGTGATGGTCCCTCACTGCTTCAAGAGTGGAACGCCTACATCCATAACCTCGAGGATGTAGGTCGTGACGCTTGGAACGACAAACTTATCAAAGCTCGTGATAAGTTTGAGAAAAGGAACCCCGACAGGTGCACGCTACAAGCTGCATCGTCTGTCAAGAGGAGAAAGGATTACCCTGCCTCTCTTGGGGAGACTCGTGCCCATGTTGTGTGAACAACTCTGCACGAGCACCTAAGGAGGCTTACCTCCCTAATAGCCCGTGGTGGCGCGTACGTATCTCTAGTGAGATGTACGAAGGGATTGACAACTTGAAATCCCTTTACGACCGTGCCGGGAAGACTTTCTCCGGCGGTCCTTCTGCGGCACAGGATGTGCCGCGTCGTACTGCTCAACCAGACCCAGTACGTCGATCATCAGTTGGGAGCGGGGCTCCCAAGAATCCCAGGACGGGGGATAGCCGCGCCACCGGACGAGGTAACTCGTCCGACGTCCGTTCACGTCGCGGTGGTTCAACAGCTGCTCTACTAGATAGCGCTGGCCACCGCGAGATTCCTCTAATGGAGGTGGAGGAGGAGGGAAGACGCTCTCCACACGATCGTGTGGATCCGTGTGTTCCCGAGAGCTTCTTTGATCGCGTAACGCAAGGGTTACGCGACGATCTCGAACATGAGCGGGATAGGCGTCTCCAGATGGTGGACACTGCCTCGAAGCATCGAGCTGAGTTTGCCTTTGCTCAGCTTGAGAACGAGAGAGCTCTGACATCTCTTCGTGACGAGCTAAGGGTAGCTCGTGGGATTGTTGATCGGTCTCAGGCTGAGATAACTGCTCTTCAGACCCTTGTTGATGCCCACCATCGGGAGCACAAGGCTCTCTGCGAGATGCTTGAGCGCAAGGGCGTTCTTCATCGGAAGAAGCAGCGTACTGATGGTACGGCTTAAGCCGACCAACGTAAAACGTGGGATGCGTTCGCATCTTACGTGGCAACTCAATCGTGTATGCATTGCCTAGGCGGTGCAATACACGAAATGGGCCGATGTACTTGGGTAGTTGTTTACTGCTACCCAAGTTAGTCACTACATGCTTTGGTAGATTAACCGTAGACAGTAGGACTAAGTCACATTTATTAAATAAAAGAGTGTTTGCCCTTCCATTCTTGTCAGCGTTTTGCTTTTGCTTATCCACCGCTTCGGCGATGGAGTCTTGCACAAAACGGACTACCGTTTCACGAGCCAGTATGAACTCGTCTGCTGACTCGTTAGCTTCAGTGTGCTGTGAGCGCACTGCAGCAACATCAACCTTTTCTTCAGTGAGGGCTTCCGCAGGGATCATTGTCTTCAGTGAGGGCTTCCGCACTCTCACTGGCATCATCTTCTTCGATATCGATGTTGTCGATATCGGCATCAAACGCAGTGACCTCTTCGTCAGAGCGTGATGAGCGTGAACCAAATCGGTCTTTTGCTCGCGCGAGTCTCTCCCCCCTTAGACCAGAGTTACACTCTAGTAAGGTGGGTACACGCGGATGGCGCAAGCCATTCACGTAAAACGGTGTATGTGTCGTGGACGCATGCACCGAGTTGTTGATGGCAAACTCTACCATTGGCAAGAAATCACTCCAACTCTTAAAGGGGTGTACGTATCCTCGAAGTATCTCTTCGAGGACACGATTGGCACTTTCCGTCTGACCATCTGACTCTGGATGATCAGATGTTGACATCTTCAAGCGCGTTCCGAGTGATTTGAACACGGAGCGCCAGAAATCAGCAGTGAATCGTGGATCTCTGTCTGATACGAGTTCACGGGGCAACCCATGAAGTCGGAAGATGGTGTCAATAAAGACACAAGCACAGCCACTTGCCATGATTGTCTCTGGTACAGCCACAAGGTGTACCATTTTGCTGAATCTGTCAACAAATACGAGAATACCCGTATTCCCGCGTGCGTCTTTGGGTAACCCGAAGACGAAATCCATTGAGATGGATTCCCAGTACTCAGCCGGAACCGGTAGAGGCTGTAAATGTGCACGCAGTGAAGGACTTGACTTCACTCGTTGACAGACTTCGCATGCGCGAACATACTTTCGCACAAACTGATACTGGCGGGGCCAGTAAAAGTCTCGACTCAGCGTGAGATATGTTTCTCCCGGCCACGATGTCCTCCTGTAGGAGCATCGTTTTACTCGAACATGATCCGCAAACGCAGATCAGTATCATCTGGGATGACAACACGTGGTGTGGCACCAGGAACGGCTGTATAATGTAGTAAACCGCTACGAGCAGTGTATCGATCTGATGCAGATCGATACGCAGACGACAATCGTTTCAACGATTCTCGAGATGGTTGGAAGAGGTGTGTCAACAACTTCACAATCTCACCATCTTAGGCGTATGCCCGCCTCACATCATCATGCAACGTTGAATATGAGACTGAGGACGTCATAACCGCAACAGTTACTGTCTCACTGTTGGGTTTCGCGACTGTTTCAAAGTCGGGACGACGTGAGAGTGCATCAGCGACGACGTTGAGTCGTCCTGGTTTGTACTCGACCGTAAAGTTGTATTCTGCAAAGAATGACAACCACCGCGCCATTCGTTGTGAAAGGTGCGGGCTGTTCACTGCCGTGCGTAATGACGCATGGTCAGTGTAAACAATGAAGGGTCTATCTCCTAATAGATAGACTCTGAACTTCGCGAGTGCATACTTCATGGCAAGGAGTTCCTTGTCATGCACTGGATAGTTCCGCTCAGCTGGTTGCAGCTGACGCGACTGATAGCAGACGACGCGTTCAACGCCTTCAAGATCGTACTGCATTAATGCACAGCCGATTGCGAAATCGCTGGCATCACAGACCACACGAAATGGCCTGTCCTGATCGGCTATTGCGAGGACTGGGGATTGTATCAAGCTCTGCTTGATACCATCAAAGGAGCGCTGACATTCAGCGTTCCATGACCACCTCTCGTTCTTTTTCAACAAACATGAGAGGTGTACAGTCATCTCGGCGTAATTGCGTGAATACTTATGCAAATACGCCGCTAGCCCAAGGAATTTTCGAAGACCTTTGACATCAACCGGCACAGGCCAGTCGGTGATCGCCTTGATCTTTTCGGGATCAGGACGTACACCGTTCTTACCAACGATGCACCCAAGAAGTGGTATTTCGCTTGCGGCAAATATACACTTCTTGAGGTTTGCATACAATTGATGCTTTCGCATGATTGTAAGAACCTGTCGGACGTGGTACCTGTGAACCTCAACGTCCGACTTTCCATCCATAGCTCGACTATGGATGAATACGTCATCGAAATAACTCGGCGCGAATTCGCGTACTGGTCTCAACAGATGTGTGTCACATCTGTTGAACGTGGCCTGGGCATTACTAAGCCCTTGTGGCATTACTAGCCATTCCCAGAGCATGCCGCTAGGCGTGCTAACTGCGGTATAGGGTATATCCCGTTCTCGCATAAGGATTTGATAGAATCCATCCATCAAATCTATGGACGAAAAGATGGTACTCTTTGACATACCATCAATGATTACGTCCTTCCTCGGTATCGGCGTCTGAGCCGGTACCGTTGCAGCATTCAATTTGTTAAATGCATGCACTATCCGCCACCCTCCTGTTGCTTTTTGCACACAGAAGGTCGGAGAGCTATGTGGGGAAGTTGATTCCCTCACATGGCCCGCAGCTAAACGATCGGCAAAGAACTTGTCGATCGCAAGTACTTGTTCACGAGGAAGTGGCCACTGCTTCATGAAACAGTACTTCAAGCTTGGTTTAAGCTCGACCTCGTGTCGAATACCTTTATCCTTCGGTAATTTGCACGGAACAGTTTCAGGGAATACATCCTTGAATTCAACCGAATCTTCATAGAGAGGATTTGTCTTGAGCAATTCCCACGATTGGGATTCATATCGCTCAACTCGTGTCTTTTCATCTAGGGCACTCTCGTCCATAGATGAACTACTGAGAACTCTCTCGTTCTCAGTAAACACTGTTGCTGACCTTATGTCGGCTACACACTCGTTGTCAGCGACGCGTACGCAGATCTGATTGACTTTGCCACTACGCAGATCACGCAAGAACCTTTTATGTTCGAGCGTTGGCAACTGAGTTATCTCCGAAGTCAACTTCGGAGGCGCAATCAGATCAAGTGTATAAGCGCCTACGCTTGATCCGTTATTGACTATGACATTCAATGTCTCTGTCATTTCCTGGGGACTTATTCCCTCAGTCTTCGAAGGACTTATTCCTTCGGCTTCCCGGGGACTTATTCACGCGGGTTTCGGGGAACTTATTTCCGCCGTATTTGTAATATCGGGACTTATTCCCTTAACTTCCTCTAGCTGGGGTTGCGCAAACACAGCGAGATCCTCTACAAAAGACTCTCCAGTCGATCTAGGATTATCGTTTCGCTTAACCTGAGCAATCGGTTGTGTCTCTTCTAGATGTTCCCTGCTAGGGATACATCTTTGTCCCGGTCCACTCGACTTATTCGAGTGGTGGACCTTCGGCGCAGCCTGTGTTTCCTCACAGCCGCTGGAACTTTGCTCCGAAGTGTAACCGTTTGTTACACTAAGGTTTTGTGCAGTCGTACTAACGACCGTACCACAAGTGAGGCCATAGCACTCACTCGTTGTACATCCACACGCTTGTGGACGCTCCAAAACGTTCATCAGATGGCCATCTGATGAACAAGCGGCAGGCATCGTTACTGTTCGATGTTGCCAGTTTACTCGTGGTTTATACCTTCTGTGCCACGGTATTCCAAGGATGACATCAAATTTGTCATCCAAATCCATTACGATAAAGCTATCGTCATACTGGGTATATTCTAGCGTATAGTGGATCTTCACTATACGCTTCATGACGGTTACAGATGCGCCTGTCGCAAGACGTACCGCCATCCTCGTAGGAGGTGTGTCACATTCACTGAACTTAAAGTGACCATCTTCTAGCGATTGGCGTCACACAAAATTGTTGGATGCCCCACAATCGACTAGAGCTCGAAGGGACAACTTATTTGTCACTTCGAGTTTTAAGGTAATGAGTGAGATCTCATTACCTAGAGCAGCAATGCACAACGTTTGTGTGTTGGGAGCAACTTTCATCAAGAGGCCTAAAAATTCTCTTGATGTTGCTGGACCAGTAGGGTGCTCCGCACCTACTGATCCTGTCCGTTTTTTGACGGTCCATCCCGTTGTTGCGTCTTTGCACCAACAGCGGACCCGCGTCCCTTCCCCTTTCTCATGGGTGGACGGTCACTACGCCCAGTGTTGCGAGACACTGGACGAGGGGCACTACACTCGTAAGCGTAGTGTCCTGTCTTCTGACATCTGTTGCATTTCTGCAACTTCTTGTAGTCTGTAGAGCGAGCCTTCTCGCTCTCTACATAACAGAGTTCCATCGGCTCTGGACCTCCGCTGTCATATCGTCTCGGTGTACGATATGATGTCGAGCTGGTGCGAGCCTGTCTCAGACTGAAGTCTTCCTATTCCGCAATGGAAATTGCTTGTTCTAGTGAATCTGGTTCAAGTCGGAACAGGTGAGTCTTGACGGGACCATCCGCAAGACCCTGCATGAACACCGAAACCAACCTGTGTTCATCAACCGAGTTGGAACTTATACAACTCGTGAGATGTCGTATATGTTGCGCGTAAGCGTGCACATCACGCTTACCCTGTTTGAGCTTCAAGAGTTCGGTTCGAGCTCTGAACTCAGCTCTAGGCGGTTCAAACGTTTGTCTGAGCCGCGACTTGAAGACTTCCAACGACCCAAACGCATATCGGTCGTGCAACTTGAGCCCCAGTGCCCAAGTCTTGGCACGTCCTGCCAGATTTGACTGGGCAAATGCAACTTGCATATCCCCGTCGTCGATGCGACGCGCCCTTATGGCGTCATCCAATTCGACGAACCATCTCAAGAGGGAGTCCTCTTCGACTCCCCTATACTTGGAGATGTCAATCTTCAAGGTCTCGGGTCGACGCGAATGCATCGACCCACCAGCAGCAGCCTGCTGCTGTCTGAACAGCTCAAACTGCTGAGCACCCTGTTCGCTCAACAACTCTGCTTGTTGAGAACCTTGTTGGTGAAGCAAGGCTACTTTCTCGCGTTCAGCGTCAAGTTCATTTTGAATGAACTTGGCGATAGTAGCATGTCGGGCATCTCTATTGAGAGCCTCTAGCATGACGCTAACAGCATGGATGCCCATGGTTGAACCCATCCGTTCAACCGCATTCCATTCGACATCGCTCAAATGGGAGTAGCCGTCACGCGTAGCGTGAAAGCTTTGGTCATCTTCATCATCCAACATATTCATGTTAGATGTGAACGTGGTCCTTGGACGGACTACGAAGTGCTACCAGGTGTAACGGGGCACCCTGAAGCTTGTACTGGTAACAGTACAAGCTACTTATTCTGATGACAGAATAAGGCGGTGCCTCGGAACTTCACGTACACTCGTACGTGCAGAGGAAGACGGTAGAAGAAGCGAGTACTTGGTTAAAGTAAAAAGTAGAACCGTATTTATAATAGTTAATGTCTGCAATAAATCACTATTTATGCTCATCTAACTATGTCTAAATACAAATGTGCATATCAACTATCTGTTCACCGCTCATTGCGTGCGTCTGTCGTGGCGCGTCTTCGTTGGTTGATATAATGGCCTATATCAACCAATAAGGAACTACTCGTAAGTGCTACAGAATATTTGCCCTTATGACAATATTCTGAGAATATAACTCTTATAGTTATATTCTATTAACAATTTCTGATAAATTGTTATGTAACGATTCACCCCGTTACACAAGTGCGCAGGTACTTGTAAATGTCGGTTCCAAAAATACGATCCCGTGCCAACGTCAATTGAGCAAACCAATGACTATGAATAGGCT